CCACTGAGAAACTTGCTGTTTCAGCAACATTTATTTTAAAAACTGTACTTTTGAGGTTAAACAAATGTTCATAATTAATATAAATAAATTACAAGTTAAAAGGGGCATGGAAATTTCTCTTTTTGTATCGAAAATTTATCGAACCGTGAGACTAAAGTATCGAACCGAACCGTGAATTTCCTGTATCGTTGCACCCCTAAATAAATACACGGTCTATTTTTAGAAAGGAGCAATCTATTTCTTTTACTTCTGCCAGTACATTAGCCCAAAACTGTAACAGCTTCAGGTTGTCGTTTGGAAATGGTCAAAGCTGTATTTAGTATTCCAGGCTTGAGTGGTGCTTAAAAGTTACAAATAACCTTTACTCTAGGCAGCATACAGAACACAAATAAAAAGTTACACAACAGCAAAGTCTCCATATGGAAATAAATACATAATAAATATTGAAGAAAACATGCAATTGATTCTGAAGTCTTTTTATTGTACAAACTAAATGGTAGTTAATAAAAATTGCAATACTAAGTAATCTCAGTTGTTCTGCTGTGCCGGTGTCTAGATCAGTAAATTGTGATGCCTGATTTAACTGACTGCAGTGTGAGTGTGTGTCTTTAAAATAAGCAACAGTTGGAGAACTCGACAAAGTTGCTCTTCATACAGTGTCAAACAAAAAAGTTAAGAGTTTTGAATGGAAGGGGAAAAAAAGGAAAAAAAATCCCTGCCAGTCCCATGTCCGAAATCACCAGGTTGCACAAGCTAAATGAGCTAACACAGACATGATATATTACAAAGGTTTTTACCTTGCACTGCAAAGCTAGCTAAACGTATAGCTTGGTCCAGGGAGCACGAGATTCTGCCCTCCAGAACATCCTTCTTTAACTGCAAATAATACTGATATCTGCGAGAAAGAAATAATTTATTAGGAACAGAGAATGGCAAAGCATGACATCCTAATGTTTGTGTTAAAAATTTAGAGAAATAGCTGTAAAATTAACAAACCCTCCAACATATGTCTGTATTAAAATACAATAAATTAAAAAATCACGATGAATTTGCACCAAACTTCGCGTCACTTTTCGAAAACTGAAATAGTACTTTTCAACCAATATTTTGTAGATATAAATACTATAGAGAGCTAGGAGTTTTATCAGTTCACCTTGTGATTTCCTGTTGCAGCTGGGTGACACTGGGTATGTAAAACAAGACTCCAAAGTAAACGGTGGGTTCCACRCCATACTTGTCCAGCTGTTTCTTCAGCGCCTTCTCCAAGTCCACCCATCTCTGCTGGTTCTGCTTATTGTAGTACCAAAGACTGAAATATGTGATCTGAAAAGCAAAACAAAACAGGAACATCCAATTAAGCTCTAGCTTCCCAGACTGATAGTTAAAAGATTTGTCATTATTAAAATCATTTTACACCCTATGCGGTACTATATACTTTCTTTACTGTTGTCCTGATGTTCAACAAAACATTCAAGCTATCATTGACCATTCATATATAAAAGCAGTGCATACTTATCAAAACGACACACATTTAACTTTAGAGAGATTAGTGATTACATAAGCTCTTTCTTAGGTGTTCACGTCTGCAGCTCTTGTTGACAACAGATTATATTTGCAGTATAAAAAAGGTGAGTCAGTGATTTGCAATTACTTGCAAAAAGTAAGAAAATCTTGCCATTGCACCGATCAACAACTGTTTTAAAGGGCATTTTAATCACCTGAAAGTAATATTTGTAAGAGACCACAAAAACAGTCTCCTAAAATCAGTTGTGGTGAGGAAATCATGAAAAGTATTGTTTTAGTCCAAAATAAATGCATCTGTCAGCATGTGTAACTCTGCTGACATAAAAAATAAACATTGTGCCAAAAGCTAAAATAAAAAAGGGTAATCACTCACACTCCTGAGTCTATGTTGCAAAATAACAGACACATATAAATATATCTCTA